TGTATCTTTCTCTTTCGGTGTTCTTACAGACGTTATTAGAATTTTTAATGTAAGTATTAGTGTGTAATTTTGAATGCTAATGTAATGTACACGGGTAATACAAATCCTTTAGTTTACAAAAAATCGTACTTCAACAATAGCGCAGATTTAAACTGGGGCCATCTACGTAGCATAAATAGCAAATATTTACGGAACGATGCCGTACCCGTAGTTCAGATTTTTACCACGAGATGTCGCTGCTTCATGAGGCCATGAAGCTCGACAAGCGTAGCTGTATTTACTGTATGTCGTGACGCTACTAAACCACGTGTCGAAACGCAATCGGTGTAAATACACTACAGTCAGAATTAATTTATTACAAAGAATATTTGCAACTGTTCGTTATTGAACGGCAAATCTGTCTTTTGTCTGATATTCAATGTTTATATTGCAGCTTTAAAAGATGACTATTGTTCATTATTTTTATCAAAATATTTCAAATTATACAGAATATTATAGAAGTTATTGTAAATAATGTGTAAATTTTTTTTCTTAAACTCTTTTAATCTCAAAATTTTTCTGCTGAATTTTCAATCTCTTACTCAAAATTTCTGTTTACTTTTGATATATATTTAGAAAAATTACTTTACATAAGAGTTTATCACACCAAGTAACCAATCTAACATATTTTAAAATTATGTACAGTACAGTAAAAATAAAAAATTTTAAAAATGTCTTAGATTGGTCACTCGATGTGATATACTCCTACGTAACTATATAACTACCTTTAACGTTATATAACTGCCTTTGTAGTTATATAAATCAAATACTACAATATAACGAACACTAAAGCGAAAAGCATAAAATGTGTTTGGTTATATCAGCCTTCCATTGTTACGTTTATCGCGGTACTTGAAAGATACGCAATAATACAAGTTCATCCATCAAGTAGTAAGCAATTAAATCAGCCATATAATATCTTAAAATATTTAAGATATCATTTTTTCCTTAATATTAACTCTAAGGAACTGTACCATTCGCAGCCGAATATTAAAACAGTAGAGCGTTGTTTATCCGAAGGTCGGTTATCCGAAGGAATTCCAGTCGACAAATTTAAATTTTCGCCAGTGCTGTGGCGCTGTAATCTTTGGCTATGTCTTCGGCTACTCAAATATTTTACGTTTTTGATACTAAATTAACTTCTGAAGTATAATTTTTTATTGTTTTTATATTTTTCAATATATTTATTTTGTTTGTACAAAATAAAAAAATAATTTTTAACGATACAATAGTCTTCGTTAGGCTTAACATCTACGAAAATTCAACGCGAAGCGACACGTAACGGAGAAAAATTTCAACACGGGATAAATTAATATATTTTTTCGTACATAATTGGTTATCCGAAAAATGTTATCCGAACAACCCCAGTCCCCAATTGATTCGGATAAACGACGCTCTAATGTAAATGAAAAACATAAATCTGCACAGTTTATTATTATTTCAAAGAAAATATATGTAATATCGAATGTCAGAAAACTAATTTTCGAAAAAAAACAATGTAAAGTTTTATTATTTATTCATCTCAAACTGTCTTCGGCAATAGGAATGCTTTAAGAAGACGAGAGACAGAGATTTAAATAGCAACTATGAGATACATTAGAATAGAAACAACCCAGAAAACATTATTATTCATACGAATAGTAAATTTATTTATTTATTTTCTTACTGTAATATCAAATTAATTTAAATTGAATCATTATCTATGATTAAATAGGTAGTGATTTTCACAATTTTTCATTGGTAAAAACCTTAATTTGGGATTAAAAAGAAAAAAAAAAACGGCACCTTTTGCATTCGTATTTATATATATTACACTGTATTGTTCACGTTTAATAACACGCAAATCAAAAACGATTATTCATTTAGTTAAGAATAACTAAGTCATAAAATGAAAATAGCATGAAATATTAAATATTTCAAGATATTCATCGCATTAATAATAATGTGGCATGTCCTGGATTTTTACCAGATGGAATCCATATTAATCTATATTTGAAAGGGGAGGGAGTTCGTTCTTCTTTCCTAGTATAACTGTATAATGTCTCTAAGAATAAAAGATTAACTGGGTTATTGATGTATTATATACTGTACATTCTCCTTCAGGCATTACTGCCGTATTGGAATATATTACTTTATATCTAAATATATAATATATAGTTATACTTACTAAAATTAACCATCCATGTAAAGTAATGGTTTGTCTTTCTTCGTCCTATAAATCATATTCGTTTTTAGTGAAGTTTCGTGTCGAAATTATACGAAAGAAATTTTAAAAATCTAAAAAGAAAATTCTACCAAATTAAAAAGATATCTTGGAACAAAATTTAATTTGACTGTAGTGAGATTGCGATGATGTTGAACGGGTCTGGCCAACTTGTCATAATCCTTTAATAAATTTTGTCGAAGTAACTTTATTGTAGAATTTTGGCAAAAGACTGCAGTGACTAAAAATACAATCATTTTTATCAAAATTTTAATTACAACTTTAATTATCATTAACCATATTAATTCGAATTATCATCGACCCAAAATCACATAATTCCCACCTCAAATAAATAAAATATACTGTACTTAATTAGAACCATAATAATAATAATAAAGCATAATTTAGCTCACTACTCTAATGAATTGTAATTAAAGTATTGGAAAATTTAAACATTTTTTATCTATTATAAATATTAGTTTACATCTTAAACGATTATTAAACGTTTCAGTTATATTTTGACGTGTTATTTATTATACATATATATATATATTAATTAAATTAAATAAACAGTAACTGTCTGACTTACAAATTCCATAAACGAGAAGACAGTAGGCATATAGATTAAAATAACGACGGACAGACATTTCTAACAAATCCAATAGAAAGTATGTCAGGTGTTTCGACAATCGTTAGAGTCACGGCAGTTTTTATCATCCCCCTTTCTAATATTTTCCTTTCGATATCGTTTAAACAAGCGATAAATAAACTAGGAAAGATATATATACACTGACTCAGCTATAAACACTTCATTCTACAATAGAGAAGTATTTTAGATAAGATGAAAAATATTTTTCGCTAGTAAAATTTAATATCAAATTAACTTTTAGCACTTAGTAACATTTTATATATATATATTTTTTTTATGAATAGGATCGATTTTAATGATTTATTAATGCACGCGAGCGCTGCGTACNGATTAGAAATAAGGACCGGGATCGAATTCCCTAGTCGTATGACACTGCACATGCGAAACATCACTGAAGTACAGTCTCGGTCAGCTGCTGTCCAGTTAATTGTTCGTCGTCATCAAATTTTACCCCTGAACAATGAGGCACACATTGAGTACACATTCCTTATATCAGTAAAACGTCCTCTGCAGAAGACACGTCCCTTACTGGTTACAGCTAGAGAAACTTTAAGGCCACTATGTATATTTTATATGCATATTAGGTATCGTATAATATCTCTTCACGTGCATTAAATACTAGAAATTGTGTTATAGCTGTAAGAGTATATGTGTTTAATTAAGTAATTATTACGAATGTACGTTATAAATAAATTACAAATGATTAATCACAGGAAAATATCATTTTTAAAAAAATTCGTGAAAATAAAATAAAAAATATTTTATATTTTATTACATAATACAAGATAATTAAAAGATTCCTTCCAGACCTGACCGATTCGTAACAATAGGTGGGAAAAAACTAATTTGTATAGTGATACCAAACAAGTGCATTCGGCATTCTATTTGTAGGCATAAAATCTAGATAGTATACAAAACATTAGAAAAGATTTTTAGAAATATAGGAAAAAACTACACTGTTTAAATGAAAATAAAATTCTAGATGCTTAGACGATTGTTGATGATATGAATGGGAGTGCTCCTTACAGGTTGCTTGTTGGGAGGTTGACTGTCAGATCGAGAGCGATATGATCGAGAAAAATGACTCATTATACACAGCACGTTGTTGGTGTCGGGTAAGGACACTTTCATTGGTGTTTATACTACAATTGCCGAACAAGTTCGAGTATACATCTTGAAAGCATCGTCTGATGTTCTCGTGTTTCAACAAGAATTCGATCTTATTATGTCTATATAGTAGCCTTTCTAAAAAGAACACTCCTCCACAGCAACACCAGTCATTTGGGAGTCGCTCTCCAGTTCCATTAATGTCGTCTCAAGAATAGTTAAGAGGATCGCAAATTACTATGTTGTAATTAGGTAAACTATTTTTAGTGTACAATGTATTGTGCTAAACGAATTAGAGCTAACGCATGTGTGTTGTGCGTGTTGTGTGTTTTTTTTTTCTTTCGCTCTATGAACACCCCTAGAGAACCTTTTAGCAAGTCCATCGTGGACACAATGGGGCGGCCGGATGGTGAAGGATGGGACCCAACATATCCGGTATGGAGCACCACCGAAAATTTCCTAGACCCGACTGGATTCGATCCCGGGTCTCCGGGAACGGTAGGCTGATACTTTACTCGCTTGGCTATTCGGCCCATATTCTGCGTTTAGTAATGGGCGTGACTGATGTATTTTCTTTTCATATGTCAATGCAAGGACAATACCTAATAACAGGAAACATCTCATACCCGGAACATGTGTAGCTTTTGTGAATCGTATGTATACAGTACATATCTGGAAAATAATTATTAAATGCTCGAACCATTGTGATTGTTTTTACAACAAAAAGTTTGACATGTTTATTAATGTCTTTGCATATTTCTTTCAAATCAATCTTAACACAGTACGAGTATAGTCACGCAATATAAGTTATCATCTTCAGACTGATCAAACAGCTTGGATAAACAAATCGGAAGGCATGCAGTAGCTTGCTCTGTATAAAAGATCTCAAATAACTTTCGAATTCTGTGAAAATACAAAAAGATCTAGTAATCAGTCTGGTCTTTAGGTGCCAGACCTTCTATTATAATTGTTGTTTTGGTCTTTGACCTTTCAGTAGACTCAATAGTTAAGACTCCATCTTAATAGCACTTTATTAATTCTAACACAACTGAACAATCTATCGAAATTCTGGCCAAAGGGTCCCTTTGGCTAGAATTATGTATAAGTTATAACACTTATATTGTTTTCCTTTATATTGGCTAATTAATAAATATTTCGTTTTGCAAGTTTTAGGATAATCCTTTGTGCTTTACTCGACTATTTAATTATTTATTTATTAGCTAATCATGTTATTGAATGAATATCATGTTATGAATATTTACGACGATTCATTCATTCATTCTAACATTCATTATATTAATGAAAGCATTATTTATGACATTATGAGATATTAATGAATTAATGAACCAAACGTGAGATAGGCATATTAAGGTGTCTGGGGACCCAGGATTGAATTCGGCCGGTCGAAAAACTCTAGAAGAATTTTTCGAAGGTGGTGTGTCCCGGATGGATCAGCTCCCCCCTCACTACCGGCGCCCCTATTGTGAGCCTGGCTGAATCTATGATGGGTATGCTGGCACACTTTCTTAGTGTCCATAGAGCGGAAAGAGCCAAAAATAAGTAACAAAAGAAAAAACATGAAATATTTCAGGTGGCCACTAAATCCGAAGTTGCCTTAAAAATTTCCTGTATATAATTAAAATGATTACTACTTTAAGTATTTCGAAAAATGAAAAACAATAACAATGTATAAGTTAGCCACATATTGTTTACCGTATTTAGTCAATCCAGTAAGAACTTTCGGAAAGATGGTGTACAATAATCATCATTACTTAAGAAATTAATTTAAAAGTAGTAGTTATCAGTTAACATATTTATAATAGTTTATAGAACTTAATAAGCTACTGTACCAGCTAAGTTTAGATTTTATAATTATTAATCATGACACAGCGGCTTTTTCGCTTGAAAGACTACAGAATTGAATTAGGAATATGAATTACAACTTCCCTAGTCGTATGACACTGCACATGCGAAACATCACTGAAGTACAGTCTCGGTCAGCTGCTGTCCAGTTAATTGTTCGTCGTCATCAAATTTTACCCCTGAACAATGAGGCACACATTGAGTACACATTCCTTATATCAGTAAAACGTCCTCTGCAGAAGACACGTCCCTTACTGGTTACAGCTAGAGAAACTTTAAGGCCACTATGTATATTTTATATGCATATTAGGTATCGTATAATATCTCTTCACGTGCATTAAATACTAGAAATTGTGTTATAGCTGTAAGAGTATATGTGTTTAATTAAGTAATTATTACGAATGTACGTTATAAATAAATTACAAATGATTAATCACAGGAAAATATCATTTTTAAAAAAATTCGTGAAAATAAAATAAAAAATATTTTATATTTTATTACATAATACAAGATAATTAAAAGATTCCTTCCAGACCTGACCGATTCGTAACAATAGGTGGGAAAAAACTAATTTGTATAGTGATACCAAACAAGTGCATTCGGCATTCTATTTGTAGGCATAAAATCTAGATAGTATACAAAACATTAGAAAAGATTTTTAGAAATATAGGAAAAAACTACACTGTTTAAATGAAAATAAAATTCTAGATGCTTAGACGATTGTTGATGATATGAATGGGAGTGCTCCTTACAGGTTGCTTGTTGGGAGGTTGACTGTCAGATCGAGAGCGATATGATCGAGAAAAATGACTCATTATACACAGCACGTTGTTGGTGTCGGGTAAGGACACTTTCATTGGTGTTTATACTACAATTGCCGAACAAGTTCGAGTATACATCTTGAAAGCATCGTCTGATGTTCTCGTGTTTCAACAAGAATTCGATCTTATTATGTCTATATAGTAGCCTTTCTAAAAAGAACACTCCTCCACAGCAACACCAGTCATTTGGGAGTCGCTCTCCAGTTCCATTAATGTCGTCTCAAGAATAGTTAAGAGGATCGCAAATTACTATGTTGTAATTAGGTAAACTATTTTTAGTGTACAATGTATTGTGCTAAACGAATTAGAGCTAACGCATGTGTGTTGTGCGTGTTGTGTGTTTTTTTTTTCTTTCGCTCTATGAACACCCCTAGAGAACCTTTTAGCAAGTCCATCGTGGACACAATGGGGCGGCCGGATGGTGAAGGATGGGACCCAACATATCCGGTATGGAGCACCACCGAAAATTTCCTAGACCCGACTGGATTCGATCCCGGGTCTCCGGGAACGGTAGGCTGATACTTTACTCGCTTGGCTATTCGGCCCATATTCTGCGTTTAGTAATGGGCGTGACTGATGTATTTTCTTTTCATATGTCAATGCAAGGACAATACCTAATAACAGGAAACATCTCATACCCGGAACATGTGTAGCTTTTGTGAATCGTATGTATACAGTACATATCTGGAAAATAATTATTAAATGCTCGAACCATTGTGATTGTTTTTACAACAAAAAGTTTGACATGTTTATTAATGTCTTTGCATATTTCTTTCAAATCAATCTTAACACAGTACGAGTATAGTCACGCAATATAAGTTATCATCTTCAGACTGATCAAACAGCTTGGATAAACAAATCGGAAGGCATGCAGTAGCTTGCTCTGTATAAAAGATCTCAAATAACTTTCGAATTCTGTGAAAATACAAAAAGATCTAGTAATCAGTCTGGTCTTTAGGTGCCAGACCTTCTATTATAATTGTTGTTTTGGTCTTTGACCTTTCAGTAGACTCAATAGTTAAGACTCCATCTTAATAGCACTTTATTAATTCTAACACAACTGAACAATCTATCGAAATTCTGGCCAAAGGGTCCCTTTGGCTAGAATTATGTATAAGTTATAACACTTATATTGTTTTCCTTTATATTGGCTAATTAATAAATATTTCGTTTTGCAAGTTTTAGGATAATCCTTTGTGCTTTACTCGACTATTTAATTATTTATTTATTAGCTAATCATGTTATTGAATGAATATCATGTTATGAATATTTACGACGATTCATTCATTCATTCTAACATTCATTATATTAATGAAAGCATTATTTATGACATTATGAGATATTAATGAATTAATGAACCAAACGTGAGATAGGCATATTAAGGTGTCTGGGGACCCAGGATTGAATTCGGCCGGTCGAAAAACTCTAGAAGAATTTTTCGAAGGTGGTGTGTCCCGGATGGATCAGCTCCCCCCTCACTACCGGCGCCCCTATTGTGAGCCTGGCTGAATCTATGATGGGTATGCTGGCACACTTTCTTAGTGTCCATAGAGCGGAAAGAGCCAAAAATAAGTAACAAAAGAAAAAACATGAAATATTTCAGGTGGCCACTAAATCCGAAGTTGCCTTAAAAATTTCCTGTATATAATTAAAATGATTACTACTTTAAGTATTTCGAAAAATGAAAAACAATAACAATGTATAAGTTAGCCACATATTGTTTACCGTATTTAGTCAATCCAGTAAGAACTTTCGGAAAGATGGTGTACAATAATCATCATTACTTAAGAAATTAATTTAAAAGTAGTAGTTATCAGTTAACATATTTATAATAGTTTATAGAACTTAATAAGCTACTGTACCAGCTAAGTTTAGATTTTATAATTATTAATCATGACACAGCGGCTTTTTCGCTTGAAAGACTACAGAATTGAATTAGGAATATGAATTACAACTTGAGAATAATAATTCGTAATGCTTCTATTATTAATTTTTTAAAAATTGTTACAGAGAAAATAATTTTTAACTTTTAAAAATTAAAAAAAATGGAGAATTCTTAAAATAAAAAGAATTAACATAACTTTGTAATGCTAATTCTTCTTTAGCATTACAAAGTACAATCACATTCTGCAAATCATGGAAGCTATGACAAAGATTAAGGCTGTTCTAGTCTTATGTTTAATACTCGTATATATAACGTGTAACACAAGGAGTATTTTATCGTTGGATCTAGGCTATTATTAAATATATACATTTAATAATAGCCTAGAGATATATATATATATACCTAAAATCATAGGCATCCGCAGAAAATTTTCCAGCTAGCAAAGCTAATTCTGAATTTTTATCCGGCTTGTAGATTGCAATTGTTGATGTAACATATAGACCTAGGGAGTAAAGATAATATTCTAAAAAAAAAAAGGTACATATTGCTTAAACAAAACATTTTTTTATAACTTTCTTGTGTGTGAAGAAAGGAGGTCATCGGATAAAATCGTTAATAGGTTACAATATTTAAAAAAATTACAATGATAAAAACATTACATGTAGTTTTAAATTTCATAATGATTATATTTAACCTCGATTGGATGATGTTTTTCTCCTTTAATCATGCTCGATTTTATTAAAAAAAATTTTTTTTGCAGTTTGATTAATGATATTTTATGACACAGTTACTTTTCAATACGTTAATTTTGTCTTTGTTTGATTTCAAAGAAGTAATTATTTTGAAAAATCTTCAATATATTATTAGTATAAAACATTCATGATAAAGAAAATAGAACTTTGTATTGTAGTGTAAAATCAATATTTGAATATATGTTCGAATACTCCTCACCAGCTGTTATTGTTTACGAAATGTTATAAATGAGTTATGCTGATTTCATTACTTTCCCGGCTGTTATATATACTACCAGATTTGTGCATTTTTTAGATTCGGGGACCTTGAAACGTCGAGAAATACAAAATAATTTGGGAGTTTTTTTCCTGTATGAATGGATATTAGTGTATGGGGGAAACGGATTTTGTTTACCCTGTTTGAAGCTTAATAAATCCTGTGCCTTTTGTCGAAAATTTCTGAAATTTTGCAGGGAGATTATAATCTTTACACGCAATCAAGTATTACGTACAATATATGAATACTAATTTTGGATTTCGTACATTATGCTATTGATTTGTTTTGTTTAAAATTATGCATAATAATTATAAATAAATTTAAGAAAAGATTTTTTTAAATTAATACTTACCAGCGCTGCTTATGGCCGGAAGAGATTTAATGGAAAATGTTAAATATATAAGTAATCCTGTCAGAATCATCATCATCATCGAACTAATTGCTAATTTTTGTATCGTTTCTGGAGGCAACCAAAATGTCATTAAAGTTATCATCAGCGTTAAAATATTCGGTATCGAAACAACTCGTTGATGAACAGATTCTCTTCTTTCTACAGAAAAATTATAGATAATGGCTACGTATGGCTCTTCGCAACAATCGTAATGGGCTACCTCACGTGTGACGTTAACGTGAATTACTTTCCATTTAAAATTTCTGTTTAACAATCTTCTGGTGACATCCGCTTCTTTATCGGTCTGTAAATCAATTATTGTTCCATCGTGATTCCACGACCCAAAAGTAATTCGGCAATATTGTTTGTCGAACGGATAATTTTCAAAATTCAAAATACAATGACTGTACACGATAATGGGTGGTACCCAAGTGACGAGTCCATTTTTTGATACAATTACATAAGTATCCTTCTTAGTATCTACTTCTGTCATAGGAATACTAAAAGAGCAAAACGAATAGAAATTAAACGTAGAATTTATATAATAAAATCAATTATCAAATGATTACTTTTCGTATACAATTATGTCTGGTTGCCAAATTTCATAATTTGCTAATGTTAACGTTTGAATGTTATTATAGTCTTCTGGTTTCCATTTTAAATGTTGATCTTCCCATTCCTAAAGGAAATAAAATATTAATATGTATGAAAATTATATAACATTAACCTAAGTTATGATCATATAAAAATATATTTTTAAAAACATTTTTGTAGAAGTCTTTTTCTATGTAATCAAATGTAAATAAATAAATAAAATATGTACTGGTGTATTTTTAATACAGAATTAAACTTGTATTTTTTTTAAAATCCTCCATAAATAATGTTTGAATTGCTCATTTAGTGTTTAATCATTAATTAATGTTTTAAACAGTTATATTCGAATAGATAAAGATTTACAGATACATTTGCCTTTAGATGCTACTACATTTGAAAGTAAATATATAAGGTATATTGAAGGTTCTACCAATTATCTTGTTACAGAGATATCGCTTATTTACCGAGGAAGGTTGACCAGATATTATCAATGTCTGTTACATAACATTCATTTTATGTAAACGTATTAATTATCACAAAGTAACAGTAGTACATTATATGCTATATTTAATTTTATGTATATATTCTCGATATGTAATGACATTATTTCTATATATATAGATGAGCCCTGCGTTGTCCTAGCAAAAAATAACAACGAAGATTGAGATTATTATATTATTTCGTACTTCTAATCCTTCTATTATATTATAGTATTTGGTTTATAATTACAAAAGGTATCTTACGCAATTCCCAATCTAAACACATTTTAATAACGACTACTAGTTAATATTTGAAAATGATCCGTGTTAGACAGGTTGTGATGGCCCCGCGTGTGATCGAAATTGCTAACCTTAACGTCCGAAAGATTTGATATAAAACTTATTTAAATAAAAAAAAAAGTATTGTAAAAATGCGAGAATAATTGCTTTTATGTGATAATAAAGTGTTTATATATATATATATATATATCTTTATTGTAATAATTATATTAAGTTTATGATTTTGTTAAATTTTTTGCCAATAGATGGCGCTACGTGTAAATCAGAATATTGAATGTAGATATGATTTAATTTATTTAGAAAAATTAAATAGATATTTTTGGGTGGAATGTATGACATTACCTAAGTTAGAAGTATTTAAACGTAACTGCCGAGTTTCATAGCAATTAGTCAAACGTCCTAGGAATGTACAGCGAACAAACAAACAACTGTTGAAGATGGAGGTTGAAGTTAATTCGACCAAAAATAGTAGTAGTTCTCCCGGGAGAGTGTAGACCAGTATTATTACTAGTCAACGACTAGTAATAATACTGGTCTACTATTAATATTTGAAATTTGATTGCTTGCTTTACATGTAGCGCCATCTATTGGAAAAAATTTAACAATACACTTAGCTAAATATAGTTTTAAAATATATATATTATATTCACTAAATTACTGCGACTATGGTATGGCGCGAAATAGACGCGCCATTATGCCATTACTGCGACAGGTAGCACATAGCACTTGCCTGCGTAGAGTGTAGTATTGTTTTGCCCCTGTACATCATACTTTTCCTATTAGCAATAGAGTCGTGCCGGTTATTTATCTAACTCCGTTTGGGGGAAAATTTTTGAATTGAAATAACATGACTTGAGGTACAAATCGAAGGTTTATATATAGTTAATCTGGCTCTCTCTCACAATTTGCATCCTCGACTTTCATCTAACTCCATTGCCCTTTTTATAGTCAGCGGGTGCTGCAAGTGAGTAGTCAGCCGTGTCCTTCTCTCCTTAAAAGATTACAACCTCCCAAATTTAAAGTTTTATGTATTAAAAGAGTGAAAACAATATCGGAGACAGTTTCTTTCAATTAACACTGAATACGCTTAAAGGGAAGATAAATGTTACCACACTAACATTGAATTAGCACAGTTAAACGGAATGAAACTTATGGTTAGATATGTAGATGATGCATTCATAATTTATGGTAAAAATATCATTGTAGAAACTGAAATCATAAAATCTACCAACAAATTAGATCCTAACATAAAATTCGAATACGAATAAGAAAATAGAAATAGATTTAATTATTTAGATATACAGTATCAATATTAACATTGGATAATAGAATGAAAATTAGGACGTAACAAACAACATGCAATACGATAAAAACAATAAATTATATATCTAACTGTCCATTTCGGTATAGAGTTTTAGGCCATACCAGCGTTGACAAGTCTCGAGATTTGCTCTACATTTAGGGAATTTTAAAAGGGATGTATTTCATATAATTTTTTGCGACTTCTAGGCCTATTAAATTTCATTCGTGATCAATAAAATATTTTATGGTTTTCTTAATGCGCGCTCTCTTTGATAGCCATTAATATAACATTAAAACTCTGTTAATTATTGCATCGTATACAGATTAAATGTAACAGTAATAGAATACAATAAACTAATATTAATTATTCTTTTGTTTATAAATAATAATAATGGTTTAATATATATATAACTTTTTCAGCCCTATGCCCTTTTTTTTGTAGCCAAGATGGGTCCAAAAAATTCCTACGGACAACCACCGAAAACTTCTTAGGGTTTAGACCCATCTGGACTCGTTTTCGGGTCTTCTGCAGCTGTAGGTGTCACCTTAAGCACTACACATATACAAATGATCTGTTCTAAAGCAATTTGTATAAGCCTCTATCATTATGCAAATCAATAGGGAAATCCATGGAAATTAACAGAAAAACATTCGTCGGTTAAAAATGCATTTTATTTTCACTGATCTTTCATATATACATAACAAGGGAAAGTATTGGAATCTTATCAAATTTCCCTCTCCGAGTTATTTGCAAATTTCCACGTTTTCAGAGCTCCGAACTCAAAAAAATCCATGCGTGGTTGTGTAATACGAATTCCTGTTTGAACTTTCCAAAACGCAAGATAACATTAGAATAAATGAATTCACTTGACATCTATAAATAGAAAAATTTTAATTTTTAAAGTGAAATAATTCAAATCCATTAGTGTTATGACGTAACGCGTGTCACCTATTTGTCGAAAGTAACCAATTGTTAGAATGCATTGTTGGATGATTCTATTGTTGGCGCCGTTTTGTCGGAGGAGAAAATATGGAATCGTGAAATGAAGACGAAGAATGATCAAGCGAAAGTCGATCCGCTCGGAGGTACTTGTCCGTTTTTAAATTTAATTTAAGATGTTCTAACTAATGATGCAACGAATAGTATATTCGGCCAGGAGCGTGGCCGAATATTCGGCTATTCGGCCAAATTATTCGGTATGATTAACGGACTTCTTCCCAAACGCGGATTTTTCTGCATCATAACTTACCACTTATTAACTTCAGTTATGGCAAAATAATTTTGTACAATGAAACAAAAAAAGTTAATTTAATTTTCAAGTTTATAATAAGGAATGATTTCATAAAAATGCTTTACAGATCATTAATTATTATTATTTTTTCATTTTATGACCTAAGTTTCGATCTAATGTGTCCACGCAGTAAAAATTTTCATACAAATTTTTACTGCCCGAAAGACAAAGTTTTTCGGAAAGTAAAACCTTAACGTCCGAAAGACATGAAGTCTTTCGGACGTTAAGGTTAGCAACTTCGATCACATGCTGTACCATTACAACCTGCCTAACACGGATCACTTTTCAAATATTAATAATAGACTATTAAGTAGTAGTCGTCGACCATCCTCTCCCAGGAGGATAAAACTACTAGGCTACTTTTGGTCGTAACTTCAACCTCCATCTGCAACAGTCCGTTCTTCCTATCGGACCACCGGTATGGTGGCAATCGAATAGGAAAATTACATAATACTAGGTTACCAGACTGCACAAAAGGTGTTTTAAGTGGTTCTCGAGGGTGCCGAGTTTAAATATTTGGTTCATTTTTCGCGAAATTTGATTGATTGGCAGATCACTGTTTGATATTCGGCTATAGGTGAAGTAGCTTGTTAGTGATAAACGTGATGGTAAGCTAAAAAAAACCAAACTCATTATATGGTTTTCGTTTTAATATATATTGTAGTGTAGTATTTGATTTATATAACTACGAAGGTTATCTTACGTAAGGGTTTATCACACCGAGTAACCAATCTAACATATTTTTAAAATTTTCTTCCTCTACTGTACATAATTTAAAGAATTTTTAAAATGTTTTTAGATTGGTCACTCTGTGTAATAAACCTTTACATAAGATAACCTTGATAACTTTTGTAGTTATATAAATCAAATACTATAATATAAGGGTTAGAAGTATGAAATAATATAATGTCTGTACTTATTTTTTGCCCGGGAAACGTGGGGCTAACCTACTAATTCTAACATATTTTTTATTGTCTTCAATCTGTGACATAACACATCTTTACTGTTTATATTATACTTAAAAGTACAGTAAATTGAATTTATACGATATTCTAACAAATAAATTTAAAATATACAATACATAATGTATTATATCAATTAAGGGATAGAGTAATTTCTTTCCCGAAATTTTACACAAATAAAAACACACAAATGCCAATTTTAATTTGCCATCATTGATAATTAGTTAGCTTTTTTCTTTCTCTGTCTGATTTTGTGTGTTCGTGTTCTCGCTTTGCCAAATTTTGGGAGAGCAGTTACCCCCTGTCCCCGACTTGTATGAACGTTATCATCATTATACTTCACTTGAATACAGACGTAATGGATTTATTATAAGTGCTTACTTGTTTCAAATAAGTACCAGTCGACCCCCCTATAACACTGTTGATTTTTCCGTTTTATATGAATTCCATGTTGTACGAGTCACTTAGATTTTACAAATACGCGTGCCGGGTTGTGAACGGCTCACGTATTTGTAAAATCTAAGTGACTCGTACAACATGGAATTCATATAAAACGGAATAATCAACAGTNTAGATTGCAATTGTTGATGTAACATATAGACCTAGGGAGTAAAGATAATATTCTAAAAAAAAAAAGGTACATATTGCTTAAACAAAACATTTTTTTATAACTTTCTTGTGTGTGAAGAAAGGAGGTCATCGGATAAAATCGTTAATAGGTTACAATATTTAAAAAATTTACAATGATAAAAACATTACATGTAGTTTTAAATTTCATAATGATTATATTTAACCTCGATTGGATGATGTTTTTCTCCTTTAATCATGCTCGATTTTATTAAAAAAAATTTTTTTTGCAGTTTGATTAATGATATTTTATGACACAGTTACTTTTCAATACGTTAATTTTGTCTTTGTTTGATTTCAAAGAAGTAATTATTTTGAAAAATCTTCAATATATTATTAGTATAAAACATTCATGATAAAGAAAATAGAACTTTGTATTGTAGTGTAAAATCAATATTTGAATATATGTTCGAATACTCCTTACCAGCTGTTATTGTTTACGAAGTGTTATAGATTAGTTGTGCTGATTTCATTACTTTCCCGGCTGTTATATATAACAGAGGAAAAAATGACTACCAGATTTGTGCATTTTTTAGATTCGGGGACCTTGAAACGTCGAGAAATACAAAATAATTTGGGAGTTTTTTTCCTGTATGAATGGATATTAGTGTATGGGGGAAACGGATTTTGTTTACCCTGTTTGAAGCTTAATAAATCCTGTGCCTTTTGTCGAAAATTTCTGAAATTTTGCAGGGAGATTATAATCTTTACACGCAATCAAGTATTACGTACAATATATGAATACTAATTTTGGATTTCGTACATTATGCTATTGATTTGTTTTGTTTAAAATTATGCATAATAATTATAAATAAATTTAAGAAAAGATTTTTTTTAAATTAATACTTACCAGCGCTGCTTATGGCCGGAAGAGATTTAATGGAAAATGTTAAATATATAAGTAATCCTGTCAGAATCATCATCATCATCGAACTAATTGCTAATTTTTGTATCGTTTCTGGAGGCAACCAAAATGTCATTAAAGTTATCATCAGCGTTAAAATATTCGGTATCGAAACAACTCGTTGATGAACAGATTCTCTTCTTTCTACAGAAAAATTATAGATAATGGCTACGTATGGCTCTTCGCAACAATCGTAATGGGCTACCTCACGTGTGACGTTAACGTGAATTACTTTCCATTTAAAATTTCTGTTTAACAATCTTCTGGTGACATCCGCTTCTTTATCGGTCTGTAAATCAATTATTGTTCCATCGTGATTCCACGACCCAAAAGTAATTCGGCAATATTGTTTGTCGAACGGATAATTTTCAAAATTCAAAATACAATGACTGTACACGATAATGGGTGGTACCCAAGTGACGAGTCCATTTTTTGATACAATTACATAAGTATCCTTCTTAGTATCTACTTCTGTCATAGGAATACTAAAAGAGCAAAACGAATAGAAATTAAACGTAGAATTTATATAATAAAATCAATTATCAAATGATTACTTTTCGTATACAATTATGTCTGGTTGCCAAATTTCATAATTTGCTAATGTTAACGTTTGAATGTTATTATAGTCTTCTGGTTTCCATTTTAAATGTTGATCTTCCCATTCCTAAAGGAAATAAAATATTAATATGTATGAAAATTATATAACATTAACCTAAGTTATGATCATATAAAAATATATTTTTAAAAACATTTTTGTAGAAGTCTTTTTCTATGTAATCAAATGTAAATAAATAAATAAAATATGTACTGGTGTATTTTTAATACAGAATTAAACTTGTATTTTTTTTAAAATCCTCCATAAATAATGTTTGAATTGCTCATTTAGTGTTTAATCATTAATTAATGTTTTAAACAGTTATATTCGAATAGATAAAGATTTACAGATACATTTGCCTTTAGATGCTACTACATTTGAAAGTAAATATATAAGGTATATTGAAGGTTCTACCAATTATCTTGTTACAGAGATATCGCTTATTTACCGAGGAAGGTTGACCAGATATTATCAATGTCTGTTACATAACATTCATTTTATGTAAACGTATTAATTATCACAAAGTAACAGTAGTACATTATATGCTATATTTAATTTTATGTATATATTCTCGATATGTAATGACATTATTTCTATATATATAGATGAGCCCTGCGTTGTCCTAGCAAAAAATAACAACGAAGATTGAGATTATTATATTATTTCGTACTTCTAATCCTTCTATTATATTATAGTATTTGGTTTATAATTACAAAAGGTATCTTACGCAATTCCCAATCTAAACACATTTTAATAACGACTACTAGTTAATATTTGAAAATGATCCGTGTTAGACAGGTTGTGATGGCCCCGCGTGTGATCGAAATTGCTAACCTTAACGTCCGAAAGATTTGATATAAAACTTATTTAAATAAAAAAAAAAGTATTGTAAAAATGCGAGAATAATTGCTTTTATGTGATAATAAAGTGTTTATATATATATATATATATATCTTTATTGTAATAATTATATTAAGTTTATGATTTTGTTAAATTTTTTGCCAATAGATGGCGCTACGTGTAAATCAGAATATTGAATGTAGATATGATTTAATTTATTTAGAAAAATTAAATAGATATTTTTGGGTGGAATGTATGACATTACCTAAGTTAGAAGTATTTAAACGTAACTGCCGAGTTTCATAGCAATTAGTCAAACGTCCTAGGAATGTACAGCGAACAAACAAACAACTGTTGAAGATGGAGGTTGAAGTTAATTCGACCAAAAATAGTAGTAGTTCTCCCGGGAGAGAGTAGACCAGTATTATTACTAGTCAACGACTAGTAATAATACTGGTCTACTATTAATATTTGAAATTTGATTGCTTGCTTTACATGTAGCGCCATCTATTGGAAAAAATTTAACAATACACTTAGCTAAATATAGTTTTAAAATATATATATTATATTCACTAAATTACTGCGACTATGGTATGGCGCGAAATAGACGCGCCATTATGCCATTACTGCGACAGGTAGCACATAGCACTTGCCTGCGTAGAGTGTAGTATTGTTTTGCCCCTGTACATCATACTTTTCCTATTAGCAATAGAGTCGTGCCGGTTATTTATCTAACTCCGTTTGGGGGAAAATTTTTGAATTGAAATAACATGACTTGAGGTACAAATCGAAGGTTTATATATAGTTAATCTGGCTCTCTCTCACAATTTGCATCCTCGACTTTCATCTAACTCCATTGCCCTTTTTATAGTCAGCGGGTGCTGCAAGTGAGTAGTCAGCCGTGTCCTTCTCTCCTTAAAAGATTACAACCTCCCAAATTTAAAGTTTTATGTATTAAAAGAGTGAAAACAATATCGGAGACAGTTTCTTTCAATTAACACTGAATACGCTTAAAGGGAAGATAAATGTTACCACACTAACATTGAATTAGCACAGTTAAACGGAATGAAACTTATGGTTAGATATGTAGATGATGCATTCATAATTTATGGTAAAAATATCATTGTAGAAACTGAAATCATAAAATCTACCAACAAATTAGATCCTAACATAAAATTCGAATACGAATAAGAAAATAGAAATAGATTTAATTATTTAGATATACAGTATCAATATTAACATTGGATAATAGAATGAAAATTAGGACGTAACAAACAACATGCAATACGATAAAAACAATAAATTATATATCTAACTGTCCATTTCGGTATAGAGTTTTAGGCCATACCAGCGTTGACAAGTCTCGAGATTTGCTCTACATTTAGGGAATTTTAAAAGGGATGTATTTCATATAATTTTTTGCGACTTCTAGGCCTATTAAATTTCATTCGTGATCAATAAAATATTTTATGGTTTTCTTAATGCGCGCTCTCTTTGATAGCCATTAATATAACATTAAAACTCTGTTAATTATTGCATCGTATACAGATTAAATGTAACAGTAATAGAATACAATAAACTAATATTAATTATTCTTTTGTTTATAAATAATAATAATGGTTTAATATATATATAACTTTTTCAGCCCTATGCCCTTTTTTTTGTAGCCAAGATGGGTCCAAAAAATTCCTACGGACAACCACCGAAAACTTCTTAGGGTTTAGACCCATCTGGACTCGTTTTCGGGTCTTCTGCAGCTGTAGGTGTCACCTTAAGCACTACACATATACAAATGATCTGTTCTAAAGCAATTTGTATAAGCCTCTATCATTATGCAAATCAATAGGGAAATCCATGGAAATTAACAGAAAAACATTCGTCGGTTAAAAATGCATTTTATTTTCACTGATCTTTCATATATACATAACAAGGGAAAGTATTGGAATCTTATCAAATTTCCCTCTCCGAGTTATTTGCAAATTTCCACGTTTTCAGAGCTCCGAACTCAAAAAAATCCATGCGTGGTTGTGTAATACGAATTCCTGTTTGAACTTTCCAAAACGCAAGATAACATTAGAATAAATGAATTCACTTGACATCTATAAATAGAAAAATTTTAATTTTTAAAGTGAAATAATTCAAATCCATTAGTGTTATGACGTAACGCGTGTCACCTATTTGTCGAAAGTAACCAATTGTTAGAATGCATTGTTGGATGATTCTATTGTTGGCGCCGTTTTGTCGGAGGAGAAAATATGGAATCGTGAAATGAAGACGAAGAATGATCAAGCGAAAGTCGATCCGCTCGGAGGTACTTGTCCGTTTTTAAATTTAATTTAAGATGTTCTAACTAATGATGCAACGAATAGTATATTCGGCCAGGAGCGTGGCCGAATATTCGGCTATTCGGCCAAATTATTCGGTATGATTAACGGACTTCTTCCCAAACGCGGATTTTTCTGCATCATAACTTACCACTTATTAACTTCAGTTATGGCAAAATAATTTTGTACAATGAAACAAAAAAAGTTAATTTAATTTTCAAGTTTATAATAAGGAATGATTTCATAAAAATGCTTTACAGATCATTAATTATTATTATTTTTTCATTTTATGACCTAAGTTTCGATCTAATGTGTCCACGCAGTAAAAATTTTCATACAAATTTTTACTGCCCGAAAGACAAAGTTTTTCGGAAAGTAAAACCTTAACGTCCGAAAGACATGAAGTCTTTCGGACGTTAAGGTTAGCAACTTCGATCACATGCTGTACCATTACAACCTGCCTAACACGGATCACTTTTCAAATATTAATAATAGACTATTAAGTAGTAGTCGTCGACCATCCTCTCCCAGGAGGATAAAACTACTAGGCTACTTTTGGTCGTAACTTCAACCTCCATCTGCAACAGTCCGTTCTTCCTATCGGACCACCGGTATGGTGGCAATCGAATAGGAAAATTACATAATACTAGGTTACCAGACTGCACAAAAGGTGTTTTAAGTGGTTCTCGAGGGTGCCGAGTTTAAATATTTGGTTCATTTTTCGCGAAATTTGATTGATTGGCAGATCACTGTTTGATATTCGGCTATAGGTGAAGTAGCTTGTTAGTGATAAACGTGATGGTAAGCTAAAAAAAACCAAACTCATTATATGGTTTTCGTTTTAATATATATTGTAGTGTAGTATTTGATTTATATAACTACGAAGGTTATCTTACGTAAGGGTTTATCACACCGAGTAACCAATCTAACATATTTTTAAAATTTTCTTCCTCTACTGTACATAATTTAAAGAATTTTTAAAATGTTTTTAGATTGGTCACTCTGTGTAATAAACCTTTACATAAGATAACCTTGATAACTTTTGTAGTTATATAAATCAAATACTATAATATAAGGGTTAGAAGTATGAAATAATATAATGTCTGTACTTATTTTTTGCCCGGGAAACGTGGGGCTAACCTACTAATTCTAACATATTTTTTATTGTCTTCAATCTGTGACATAACACATCTTTACTGTTTATATTATACTTAAAAGTACAGTAAATTGAATTTATACGATATTCTAACAAATAAATTTAAAATATACAATACATAATGTATTATATCAATTAAGGGATAGAGTAATTTCTTTCCCGAAATTTTACACAAATAAAAACACACAAATGCCAATTTTAATTTGCCATCATTGATAATTAGTTAGCTTTTTTCTTTCTCTGTCTGATTTTGTGTGTTCGTGTTCTCGCTTTGCCAAATTTTGGGAGAGCAGTTACCCCCTGTCCCCGACTTGTATGAACGTTATCATCATTATACTTCACTTGAATACAGACGTAATGGATTTATTATAAGTGCTTACTTGTTTCAAATAAGTACCAGTCGACCCCCCTATAACACTGTTGATTTTTCCGTTTTATATGAATTCCATGTTGTACGAGTCACTTAGATTTTACAAATACGCGTGCCGGGTTGTGAACGGCTCACGTATTTGTAAAATCTAAGTGACTCGTACAACATGGAATTCATATAAAACGGAAAAATCAACAGTGTTATAGGGGGGTCGACTGGTACTTATTTGAAACAAGTAAGCACTTATAATAAATCCATTACGTCTGTATTCAAGTGAAGTATAATGATGATAACGTTCATACAAGTCGGGGACAGGGGGTAACTGCTCTCCCAAAATTTGGCAAAGCGAGAACACGAACACACAAAATCAGACAGAGAAAGAAAAAAGCTAACTAATTATCAATGATGGCAAATTAAAATTGGCATTTGTGTGTTTTTATTTGTGTAAAATTTCGGGAAAGAAATTACTCTATCCCTTAATTGATATAATACATTATGTATTGTATATTTTAAATTTATTTGTTAGAATATCGTATAAATTCAATTTACTGTACTTTTAAGTATAATATAAACAGTAAAGATGTGTTATGTCACAGATTGAAGACAATAAAAAATATGTTAGAATTAGTAGGTTAGCCCCACGTTTCCCGGGCAAAAAATAAGTACAGACATTATATTATTTCATACTTCTAACCCTTATATTATAGTATTTGATTTATATAACTACAAAAGTTATCAAGGTTATCTTATGTAAAGGTTTATTACACAGAGTGACCAATCTAAAAACATTTTAAAAATTCTTTAAATTATGTACAGTAGAGGAAGAAAATTTTAAAAATATGTTAGATTGGTTACTCGGTGTGATAAACCCTTACGTAAGATAACCTTCGTAGTTATATAAATCAAATACTACACTACAATATATATTAAAACGAAAACCATATAATGAGTTTGGTTTTTTTTAGCTTACCATCACGTTTATCACTAACAAGCTACTTCACCTATAGCCGAATATCAAACAGTGATCTGCCAATCAATCAAATTTCGCGAAAAATGAACCAAATATTTAAACTCGGCACCCTCGAGAACCACTTAAAACACCTTTTGTGCAGTCTGGTAACCTAGTATTATGTAATTTTCCTATTCGATTGCCACCATACCGGTGGTCCGATAGGAAGAACGGACTGTTGCAGATGGAGGTTGAAGTTACGACCAAAAGTAGCCTAGTAGTTTTATCCTCCTGGGAGAGGATGGTCGACGACTACTACTTAATAGTCTATTATTAATATTTGAAAAGTGATCCGTGTTAGGCAGGTTGTAATGGTACAGCATGTGATCGAAGTTGCTAACCTTAACGTCCGAAAGACTTCATGTCTTTCGGACGTTAAGGTTTTACTTTCCGAAAAACTTTGTCTTTCGGGCAGTAAAAATTTGTATGAAAATTTTTACTGCGTGGACACATTAGATCGAAACTTAGGTCATAAAATGAAAAAATAATAATAATTAATGATCTGTAAAGCATTTTTATGAAATCATTCCTTATTATAAACTTGAAAATTAAATTAACTTTTTTTGTTTCATTGTACAAAATTATTTTGCCATAACTGAAGTTAATAAGTGGTAAGTTATGATGCAGAAAAATCCGCGTTTGGGAAGAAGTCCGTTAATCATACCGAATAATTTGGCCGAATAGCCGAATATTCGGCCACGCTCCTGGCCGAATATACTATTCGTTGCATCATTAGTTAGAACATCTTAAATTAAATTTAAAAACGGACAAGTACCTCCGAGCGGATCGACTTTCGCTTGATCATTCTTCGTCTTCATTTCACGATTCCATATTTTCTCCTCCGACAAAACGGCGCCAACAATAGAATCATCCAACAATGCATTCTAACAATTGGTTACTTTCGACAAATAGGTGACACGCGTTACGTCATAACACTAATGGATTTGAATTATTTCACTTTAAAAATTAAAATTTTTCTATTTATAGATGTCAAGTGAATTCATTTATTCTAATGTTATCTTGCGTTTTGGAAAGTTCAAACAGGAATTCGTATTACACAACCACGCATGGATTTTTTTGAGTTCGGAGCTCTGAAAACGTGGAAATTTGCAAATAACTCGGAGAGGGAAATTTGATAAGATTCCAATACTTTCCCTTGTTATGTATATATGAAAGATCAGTGAAAATAAAATGCATTTTTAACCGACGAATGTTTTTCTGTTAATTTCCATGGATTTCCCTATTGATTTGCATAATGATAGAGGCTTATACNTACAATCGAAAATACTGTATAACTTCTGATAGTTTAACGTTTCTTCGAAAATATTTTCGTTTACATTTTATATCTCTTGCAGTGACAAAAACGGATGACGGAGGACTTTCGAATATACAAAAGTTAAGGAAAGTTCTTTTGAGTAATTATGATAAAATGACTCGTCCCGTTCTTCATCATACAAACATCACTCACGTAGAAGTGACTCTCAGACCATTCTATATAAGCGAATTGGTAAAGACTTTAGAAAATTATTGTCTGTATAACTCGTATATTTAGTCTTATATTAAGTAATACTAAAGTTAAAGTTAGTACTATTATACTAAATCAATTTTAAATAACGAGATTCAATAAAGGATTGGTTAAATTTTTTATAAATTAATTTTTTTGTCCTTTTGCTTCGGGCAAAGTTTTGAATTAATTCGTCTATATCAATCATAAATGCAATGTCATTCTCTATAGATGATATTGATAGTCGTTCCTGAGCGATCACGGAGCCAGTGTACGGTTTTATAAGTGTTAAGATTGAAAAATTACTTTCTGAACTAGTCACCAATACTGGCAACTTCGAAATAATTCTTAGAGAAATAAACACATTTTTGGAACACAATATGTATGACAGAACGTCTAATGAAGAAGTATTTTCTGGAATTAGCATTGCTGTTTTTCTGAGAATATGTAAAATTAAAATTCTAAATATATTAATTAAATTAAATAATATTTTGCTAGATTTAAAAAATCGAAAAGATTTAACGATCTAGCTTTTCTTTGTTTTGAATAAGGCCCCATATCTCACCTAATGGTAAAACCGGCCCTGTTTAGTGTTTAGATCGAAGAAATATAAGAAGAAAGAAGCTATATTCTCGGGAATCATTGATTCTTATATATAAATGTAAATGTAAATATATATATATATATACATACATACTATATACACATATATTATNAATAAGTATATTGTTAGAGAGAAAGCGCATTTTTAATTTTATTGAATTCTTATTTCAAAGTAATCAATTAATCAACACATTTTAAATGAGACTTCGTTTAAAATGTGTTGATTAATTGATAACTCTTCTATGTTGAATTTAAAAGTTTTAGAGAAGTTTAGAGCATTTAATCAATTATTAAATGCTCTAAACTTCTCTTATTCTAAACAATATGTAAACTGCACATCTCTCTTCATCGTTTTGATACAAAACAAAGTAATATAGAATAAAATACAGTATCCAAACATTAAAAACTTGGATAATTTGTACTAGCCCGCCTCGCACTGGGATAAACTCTTCCCGCCATGTGGGCACTAAGAGGGCCTCTTTTGGCAAGCCCATTATGGATTCAGCCAGGCCCACAAAGGAGCGGCAGGTAGTGAGGGACCAAACCCGACATATCCGGACGGACCAACACCCGAAAAATTCCTGAGGATTTCTCTATCCTTCCGGATTCGATTCCGGGTTCCTTAGACCTACCGCTCTGGGGAACCCGGAATTCTTTACCGCTCAGCAATCCGGCCACTGAAGAAGTATTAAAGTGACAATGCTATCGCGATACGACAAAATCGGACAATGTCCTAGTTTATTTGAAAAAAAGTATGAATATTAATTTATTAAAAAAGTAGAAATTTATTATAAATAGCAAATATAGTAAATTTTCATCTTTCGAATGGTATGAACTTTATTATGAATCAAATCAGTATTCAAATGCCTTATTTTTTGTTGTCCATTATACTACTAAAACTATTATTTCCTGGAACACAATCTCAATTTATAACATAGCTTATGGAAAATACAGTAGAATATTACGCTTTCTACTACCAATTAATGTCATAAAAATTGAAAAGTCTACTATATTAATGGAAAGAAATATTTTTCTTTTACAAAAAAGTTAGACTTAGTCGATATACGTATATATATATAAAACTCTTGCTATTGTTACATGAATTGCAATTTGTAATTTTATACGATTATATTTTCATTATACTTCACTAATAACTCTTCCTGTAATTTCAGTTCTCCAACAATGGATGTAGATCCATTTGCAAACACAGATGTTATAGTAAATAATGATGGAACTGTAAAATGGTCTCCTCCAGCCACCATTCGAAATATTTGCTTCCTAGATTATAGAGATTATCCAAGAGACGAACAGACTTGTAGAGTTATATTTGGATCGTGGTCTCAACACGGTTTCGCCATCAACATAACTCTCGGAGAAAAAATTGTAGATATGAAAAGTTTCAGAAATACTAATCCACATTGGGAATTAATTGATATAACGTCGTTTCAACGCACTAAGTATTACAGCTGTTGTCCGGAACCTTACGTCACTCTCGAATACACGGTCAAACTTAAACGAAGACCAACCATTGAACAACAATTGGAATGGGTATTGTCCGTCGCAATTGTTATTTTAACTCTCGCAGTATTTTGGCTTCCTCCCACTTCTGAAACTAAATTAACTATCGGCAGCATCAATATTCTTACGATAACTGGGCTTTTAATGTACTTGGCTTCTCAAACTAAATCTGTATCTTCTCTTCCTTACATAGGTAAGTTCATTCAGAAGTAACATATGTGAAGCAAAAGTTTTTAATTCATTATGTGAATATATTAGAGTTAAATAGAAAACTATGCTCACGAATTATAGTAGTTTAAACTAAATAAAATAAAATTTCATTTATTAACTATTGAAATATAACACCATAATTTCATTAGCTTGATTAATATAATTTTCTCTTACAGCTCGATTACTTAATTTCTCTCTATATACTGTGACTTCGGCCATGATATTAGAAATCGTCGTAATAAACATGGCATTAGTGTTTGGTCCTTGTTATCCACCCGAACAAATCTACGATTTTATATCAGGAACACTTGGACGTTTCCTTCTATTAGAAATAGCTCAGCCACCTTCGGATGATGGAAAAACTTCGTGCAGAAAACAATGGTTAACAGTAGCAACGATGGTAGATCGAGTTTTATTTTTCATTTATCTTATTGTTTTACTGGCTATACCGAAAACTGGCTAATTTATTATTTGATGTGGTTAAGAATATAACTAATTTAGATTACGTTTAATTATATTATTATTTTGTTGAAATGTTTTGTGAGAAATAAATTTAGAAATTAAATAATTTGCTGACTCGTAATTGAATTTTATACGGTATTGTATATTAGATAAAAGTTATTAGATAGTCCCCACAGCGACCGGCGGAGCTTCTTACTACACCGGCATTTAAAGAAGAAGAAAAAAACTTTCACTCACCTTTGACATATTTCTAATCCCTTTTCTCCCATTTATTCGATAAAACCATGGTTCGGATGATTCTTTCGTAACTTCATCATTTTCCATCGTAGAAACTTTTTCCGCATTCTTCCTCTTACGATTTTCGGATTTATATGGCACTTATTTTCAGGACTGACGGTACAATATCTGGCACTTTCCAAATTAAAACACGTCCCGCTACTGGATAAAACTTACTGGTACACTGAACAAACAGGTCGAACCTTTCTCCTAGTTTTTTCCTTTTGCTCACAATCTACAATCTCGTCGATTTCGACAACCTTTCCAGGTCCATCCAATTTTCATTCCGGTTAAATTAGACTACGAAACAATCATAATGTGTCGTATGAAATTCGTCCAGTCAACAGCTATTCGACTACTCACACCCACAGCCAAAACAGATGACGCTCAACTTCCATTCTATGCAAATTAAATGCAAATTAAACGAAAAAATAGTTCCTAAATTTACGTTTAAAAAGTCCTTCAATTTACGAACTGTTCATCTTTCTCCATATAAACATAGAAGAAGAAGAAGAAGAAGAATTGTTCGTCTTGCATTTATGACATCTAAAAGAAACAGAAACACGATCCTTTCGATAATTTAATTTACGACGACCGTCACATTTCGAACGATCTGCATGTACTGTACCAAAGTTTATGGCAAACATACCATATGATGAAATTCTCTTGTCAAAATTAAAGATATTCCGATACTACAAAATGAAAAAAAAAATCCCTTGAAGTACGACAATAAACGACAAATTTTATCAAATGTAAACTTCTAAAAACAATGATTCACACAACAATATATAACTTTTTGAACCTGAAAAATTAAATTACTCTTAATTAACAAAGTTATAAAATGTTAGGAAATTAATATAGAACTGAAATGACGTTAGAAATCGTATAAAACAAAAGACAGGAATACCTAGATTAATTTTCAAAGCACGCGTGTTGTCGAGATTCCTGAAGTGCCGTCATAGGGACTACCTAAGTAAACTCCTACCGTAAATTATTGAGACATTTCTTAGAGGTTATATTGTAAGAAATACTTGTATATGGATACGACATTTCTAGATTAAAAAAGAAAAAAAAAACTCACCTCCAAAATGGATTTTTAATTGTCTGAATGAATTGGTTTGTTCTATATTATTTTAGCATTATTTTGATTTAATTCAAATAAAGAAGTTAATAGAAAGAGCATATTTAATCAATTGTAAATGCAATTATGGATACAAAATATGCACAGCTGAAAACAATTTTCAATAATATTCTAAGATTACAGTACATTTGAACCGAATGACCAAACGAGGGATGGTATTAGAATAACAAAGTGCTACTTCAAGAAGTGCATTGAAAAAGTGGAGGCCATGACAGGTTTAAAGCACCCAGTGACTGCATTATTGAATCAATAATACTAGTTTCTCGTTTTTATCCGTTATAAAAAAACAAGAAGAAAGTTTGTGAAATTATAATTATAACTAACTTATTAAACTATTACATATTTGCTTTTTTATTGAGTTTACAAAAATTAATTTTGAAATAGAAAATCAAATATATATACTTAAAAATACTATATTTATTATATAAAAATCCAAATGTTTAGAAGTTTATATTACAAATGAACACAGTGCCGTAATATGACCCATGAGAAAGGGGCCCTTTAATTAAAATCAGGTACCAAAAAATAATTGCCTGGGTGAGTAGTAAGCCAACAGGCTTCTATCTGGGATGACTTTGCAGTTTTGTGTCTGAGTTTTAAAAAAAATTCCCCATGTTAGATTTTGATTTTGGTGTCAAAATTCTCAGTAGAACCCTGGCATGTGTATAAATTATTTTTTGGAAAATATAATTAACTCTCAGATAAGATATAATTGAAAAACTCTTAATCTTTGATGCTTAATAACAAAGAGGTATTTTGACATTTTTGGGTGCTGTTTTTTGGAATATAAAGCCAGACAGTTGCTTCATATTTTTGCAGAGTTATCCCAGTTCAAAGAACTTTGAACACAGATAACTTTTTCATAGTTATTTCCTTTTTCTTATAATAGTAAATGAGATTTAAATCACTTTTATTTTTGGTCAGGTTCCCATTAAATAATGAATCTTTCCTTAAGATCCATTAGTTCATATTATATCTGAAAATATATTATTATTAAAACTGATCAAAGCTTACAATAAAATCTTATATTATTAATCAGATTTTATTAGGAAATTTTTGTTAAATAAATCATAAAAAACATTCCATATTTTGTTCTATTTACAAAATAATTATATGGATATATGATTAATTTTATATAAAATAAAATATATGATACATTTTAGTTCTTTCGGAAAAAAATTTATTACAATTATTAAATATTTTTAGTAACTCTTACTTTGTTATATATAAATATTTTGACTTGACTTTTCAATCAATTAAATATTTCATTTATAAATTTAATAAACATTAATGTTAGTATTTTCAATTTTTTATTTAAAATTCTAAACTGATCAAAATAATATAAATTTTTTGAAGTGATAATTAAATAAATTTTAAAATTTTATATACATATATTTAATAATTTACAGATTATAAAGAAATCATTTCAATTCTTTATTGTCTACGTACATAAAAATATTAAACTTGAGAAACTAGATGTCTTTGGTATTAGAACAGCTTAATAAAACACATTAATGACTACTTTCTCCTTCTTGATTATCATCTCCATCTTCATCTTCCAATCCATATTGCAATTTCAATAAATGTACATATTTCTCTTGACCTGAAGGTAATGGATCTTTTCCAATAAATTCCCATCTGTGCATTAGCAATGTTTTTAATCCTTCTTCTGATAAATCTGACATAGGAATGTGATCTAATAATAATTCCCAAGAAAGTGTAAATTCATTATAAGTTTCCTGTATGCAAAACAAAAAAAAAAAAATTATTTCATATAAAAAATTACTTCTAGACTATTTTATAAATTTTTATTATATTTATTGTATAATATTTTTATTTTATTATTTTAATTCAGAAATAATAAACTATTAAAATAAAATTTACTAGATAAAATTAAAAATTTTAAATATACCAAGCCTCCTCTTTCCTGTCATTTCAGTTTGTATTGTTTTCAAAGTTGTATTGTTAAACAATTAATACCAAAATTTCGTTTTGAGCTGAAAAATTCCCAACTGAGCTGTGTGATATTGCTAGTAATCACCGATTCATAACTAGATGACATTGAGCACTAAACTGAGACTAGACTTCCTCTTTAAAGTATACGAGGATGATATTAATGACCTAAAAATAGCTTTATTTGTTTATTCCAGTGAAATATGTTTTAGTAATTCCCTTTTAAATCCTTGTTACAGACTTTAATATAAAATTTTAATATTATTAAATTTATAATGTTTTGTTACATTTGTTACATCTTTCCTGAAATACTGATGATTTAAAAATTCATTGCATTTGATTAATAATTACTTTAAAGTTGGGCTAAAAACTCGTTTTTGATTTCATTTTTACAAGAAGGGTTAATGTTCAGTTTTATAGAAGTGAGATTTTCAGCTTACAATTTTTTATTACTTTAGCAAAAATAGTTAAACTCATGAGTCAAAGGTGCATGCAGTATCTTAGAATTGCCTACTCTCCTGGACTTTTCCAAAACTTCAAAAACTTTTGGACTCCTAACTTGAAACTTATTCTTCCTGTATTTATTTGACACGATGATCCACTTTTGGGTTATATATTAAAACAAACTAAAGAATGGGTGACAGCATTTTGGTACTGCTGAGAGTAAAAAATGTCAAATCATATTTTTTTTACTTTCCCAGCTGTTATATATAACAGAAAGTATGGCGATCAGTCAATAAATGACCCGCAAGATTTGTACATTTTTGGACTCAGGACACCTTGAAACATCAAGAAATGCAAAAAAATTCAAGGTTTTTTTCTGTATGTATGGATGTTTGTTTGTTTTGTATGTATGTGTCTTTGTGTGTGTGGAGGGTACAATTTTGTTCACCCTCTTTGAAGCTTAATAACTCCTGTGCTTTTTGTTGAAATTTCTGAAATTTTGTAAGGAGGTTTGTTTATTAAGTGAATTGATGCTATTAAATTTTAGTGATTAAAGGTCAAAGAAATGTGAAGATAAAGGGGGTCACATGTATCTCCAGTAGGGTCAGACTTAATGACAATTTTACTCGTTATTTACAATTTTTTATAAAACCCAGTCATACCCTCAAAATTAAGCTTTTTACCATTTTATAATAGTTAAAAATATAAAAGTTCTTTTTAATAAAATATGGTAATAGATAATGCCACCAAATTTTGCCAGGAAGTTGAACAACTCGTTGCTGATTTGTTTATTCCTGGAACGAAAATCTCATATTTCCATTCCAGGAATAAAAATAAAATTTTGGCCATCTCTAAATTCTTTAGGAGATGACTAAAAGTTCTAATCTAATTTCCAATGTGATTCTTTTCTTGAACTTTTCAATAATTCTATCAGTAGGTATGTGAAGCCAGTTAGTATAGGGCTACACAGCATTTAGCATTTGAAACAAGTGCTGTTAAATCTGCAGTAGTTTCAGATGCTAAATTAATGACCTGCATAAAAAGTCTTGAGACGGGGAAAATGCTGTCTTTATGGATATTTAGAACCAAAGCTTTTAATTCAGGAAATAAACTATCTATCCCAACCTTTAGAGTTAGCAATGCCCCCCAAATTAATATTAACAAAGATAAATAGCGTCGGGAACCTGATCACATTCGGTGTAAATAGATGCAGTCTAAAATTTCAGTACAACCAGAGCTTGCACACACAATACTATTAAGACAAAGGCAAAAAATTTGTTTGATGATCTTAAAAGAAGTTAACTTGCAATGATATTGGTAGCACTAGAACCTGCACTAAGAAAGAAACATTTGAAGCATGGTTGTTTGAGCTTTCAAGCTTTGTGCAAATCTACCTAACATTTCATTAAAAAACTGATGAACATGGGATTATCTAAGTTATATTTTGTCTTTCTAATTTTAAACAAATAATAAATTACTAGGGTGTAAATGACAGATGGAACCATCAGAAAAATAAAAAATTTTCAGAAGATCCTTTATATTAATAGGTGCCAGCAGAAGTCCATATATTTCCTGCACACTATTTGAACAATTCATGGGTATAAAAATCTATTTTATTTAAAAATAAAAAACAAAAAAATTTTTTGTACTAATTTACAATAGAACTATATTATTTATATGATAATAATTGCAAAATTAATCTTAAACAGATCAATTATTTTCCAAATTTTTCCATCCTCAGGTTTCCAAGAAAATATTTATTTCATTCTCATTACAGATATTACTATGCAATGTAAAATCTGCCAACTCTAGGCTGCAATAAAGTAACTCATGAAAGGATGTTGAGAATCTCATCCACATTTAAGCCAGGTCTCGTTCTTAATCTGGCCATCTGGCTGACAACCACAACCCTGTAGCCAGAAATAAACCATTGGGAACTACAGGGACAAACTAAAAAATTGTGACTAGTAATTTTATCTTTTCCACCCAGCACTAGGTTTATCAGCTACAATCCAAGTGTAAAAAACTTAACAGTAGCTTAAGTCAGTGGTTCTCAATCCGTAGTCTGTGAAATACAAGTGCTCTGTGAAGTCACTTCAAGTGTTATGTGAAAAAATCAAATATACAATTAAAAATTGTTGTAAAATAAAAATCAATACAATGTAAAATAATTTTGTATGGAATGTAATCAGCAAATGCCAATGACATCATATAGTAGACCGAGTGTGCTCTTGAATTCAAAAAGTTTGCCACCCCTGCTTTAAAGCTGATGTATTATGAGTGTTCCACGGAAAAAAATGTCAAAGTTTAGTGTTCCCCGACTTCAAAAAGATTGAGAACCATTGGCTTAAGTTTACATGATTTATTATATATACTATATATGAGAACTAAGCTAACTAAGCTGAAGGGGCTTAGTTGGCACTTAATAGCCCCCCTTCTCATAGCTCAGAATCTGCTGGCTGATGCTTTTTATCGATTATACTATAGAAAATATTTCATAAGTGATTAGCTGATTAGTATAGAGTAGAGATGGTAAACCTTTTTGAGTCCACATGCGATATAGCAAGTATACATTTCTTTTAAAATGTTTATGTACACTGAAGTTTTATATTTCAAATAACATTTAAATAAGTGAAATGAATATGCTTTAATTAGAGTAAATGTAAGGAAGATGTTTGAAAAAAAGGATGATCAGGTGATAAACTGAAAGGTTGATTGAATAAGACAAATGATAAACTGAAATTGTTTTAAATCTATTAAAAAGATTAAGAAACAGAGAGTGAAGTGTATGAATTAGTATAATTGTAATAATAATAATAGAATTTACATAGGAGAAACAGGCAGATGACAGACTAGAGTAAAAGAACATTTAACAGTGTTAAGAATACAACACCATTTGTCACCTTGGATAGATCATCATCAAAAATGTAAATATATAATTGATCAAGATAATATTAAAATAATATCATTTGAGAGAAATAATAAAAAATAAAAGAACATTTTGCTGTTATGAAAAAATAACACAATAAAAATGTAAATTTACTAAATTTAAATATGGGTATAAATGTGACACCAGAATGATATACAATTGTAGATAGTGCAGACATGAGAACTAGAATGTCATGGAGAAATTGTGTAAAGCAGCACTTGTAAGTTAAAAAAAGTTATCTATATTGTTTGTTTGGTATTTTTGATGATATTTAATGTTTGTAGGAAAAAATATCTTCTATGAAGTGTAATAACATACTGATGAGAATCAGAAGATTGAAATGCATTTATGAGAAAAATAAAGAGAGTAACATAAAAGTAATGATTTTGAAATCTTTTAAAATTAGTTTATTGTCATTTTAAAATTCACCTTGGATGAAAAGTCAGGAAAGTAAAAAGAATAACTATGAATTTTATTGAAGTTTTATTGAAATTCATAATTTTTAATATAATTTTGAAATTGTTTTATTTGTTATGTGTCAGATAATATCTCCTGATGTGCCACTTTGGGCATGCATGCTACCCCTTGTATACAGCAATAAATATCTATTTGCAATACAAAATTAAAAATTTTTCAATACTTATTTATTATCCACTTATGAAGTTAAGAACTAATTAAAAACAGAAAATATAGAAATAGTATAATATACTTACCTGATTTAATATATTAGTACTGTTTCCAATACTATTAAAATATAAAAATGGGTTAAATGGACTATTTGATGATACAAAATTTGAATCTAATTTTATCCTGATTTTCTTATCCACAACTTTACTGGATGATAATTCCTTCAAATGATCAATAATATGTTTTTCATACAGTTCGTAATTTTTTGTATCCACACAAGTATATAATACATGTTGCACATTATTCAAGCAATCTTCAATAACTGCTCCTGGTAGCTGTGATGCTGTGGATGGACATTTATCTGAAATTAATTCTTCTATACTCTGTGCAGATTTGAAATTTTTGTTCAACTTTTTAGAAACTTTCATGTTTTTGCATTCTTCTTGCTGATATGGTGAAGGACTAATTGAATTCAAAACTGAATCTGTATTTGTTATATCAGGTATTCCCAAACTTGTTTGAATCCATAATAAATTTGTCTTCAGTAAATTATATAAATAATGTATATGTTCTTTAGCTGTCAATAAAATTGTAACTAAGAAATATTTCTTTTAATTATAATTATATTTAAATTAGATTTAGAATTAAAAAAATAAATCAAACAAGCAATTATTTTTTGTAACATCGTCACAATGCCAAACTATAATTTCTAATCATAAAAATATGATTAGAAATTATAGTTTGGCATTGTGACGATGTTACAAAAAGTATGGTGGAGAGTATATATTTTAAATTTAAAAATGATTAAAAATAATCATTTTTAAATTTAAAATATATACTCTCCACCTCAAATTAGTACGATGGCCATATGGCCATCGTAGGGACTAGGGATCAAATCCGGATGGGTTGAAAAATCTCCAAGGAATTTTTCAGGGGTGATCCAACCAGATATGTTTATAAAAATATTCAAAATATCATCACTAATTTATTTGTCTAATTAAAAACATTAATATTTAAACATACCATTTTTTGATTGGAGATATTCAGTAACACAGATTTCTAAGCAATCATCTTCAAACTCTTGAATACTGTTATTAATTGCTAGATTATTTTTTTCACTATTAAAATGAAAAAATAAAAATTGCAAATAACAAATAATTTATAGATAAATTTTCTATTACAGTTAAATAATTTTACCTGTTTCTTTCAAAAAATACATTTATATGATCTCTAAAATCAGTAATAAAATATGTATATTGCTTATCAATATGAACGTTTGAACGATTATCACTTAATAAATCGAGCAACGTGTTGAATGTTTTATCTATTATATCATGGCATAAATCTAAATTATATGCTTCAATTAATTCTTCTAAATATTTTAATTCTGTCAGAACAATATTCAATGCAGAGAGAAATAGCTGCAAATATGAAAAGTTTTATAATAAACATTTTAATTGGATAAATATTCTGAAAACATAATAAAAACCACATCATTTATATTAAGATGATAATTCATTAACATTATGCTTAAAATTTGTTCAGAGTAAGAATTAAATATGTGTTACTTTCTAAAATTCCAAAAATATTTGAGGAAAAGTTGTTTTAATCAGAAAAGTAACATATCGATAAAAAATTTTCCATTAAAATTCTTTTTTCGAATATCAAAATTATCTGATATATTATTAAATCACAGTTTATCTGATATTCTTGTAAAGTATTAAAAAAAAGATACAAAGAATAGTTTCTATGCTTCTCAATATTAATGCAAAAAATTTATTCATAAAATATGCCTTGTTTTAAACATTTTGGGCTTAACTCTCTTTATTAGAAAATATATAGACCAATATATATTTCATAATTATATTATTATTATTATTAATGTACAGTAGGTAATTGTAAGTAAACTATCCATAATAAGTAATGATATCAATGCATTTCAATTTGAAACAAAGTTTTTCACGCTGAAGCTGAAATTAGGTGGATTCTAAAAATGTTTGTAAATTGATATATTTTACATGTTTGCTGGGAGCTGAAGAAGTTCAGTGGTCTGAAGTAACAATATCGAGGCATGATCTAATGAGAGTTTCAGTTCTGTTTGAGGAATTTTTTCTTCAGAATATGCAGAAGACAATTTTACAAAAGAAAATTAATTTTAATATTTTATATCAAAAATAGCTCAGTCAAGAGAGTGCTTAAGAAAGCACCCTTGGGATTGTTGTGTCTAGATAATGGAGCAGTCTGAATAAGAGAGTATGCTCTTTTATCCAGATTGCTCCATTATCTGAAATAACATCATTACCCAGGGAGGTGTTAATGGTATTTAATTCTCTACATTTTTTCATGACTTGGGGAAATCTATATAACTTATAACCCCCTTGGAAACATTAAAAGTCATTATCATATAACTTTACTGTAATTTACATAGTGGTTTCCATTCTTATATCATCAATTTTATTGTTCTATCTAATAATCAATAAATACAGTGTATTTACCAGTCACATTATTTTTACTTCTTCCCAAAACTACAGTAGGAGGTCTAGCTGAATAAATCTTAATTAATATCCTTGCTCCAAAATTTCTAAATGCTAATGGGATATACACTATAAAAACAAATAAGTACAGTACTGCCTTAAAGTAATATCATGTGATCTTACTTTAAGGTAGCTATCTGAAATCTGGTAGCTAATCAATCAGTTTTTGTCCTGTTTCCTTAAGATGAGGACATATATACTATACTTGCACTGTTTGTTTATGTCCCATTTTAATGATACCTTTTTAATACGTAATTGCTTCTCATATGTGTTCATTATGATTCTGTGAGAAATCTTTTGATTGTCCATTTATTAGAAAACTGACCAATGAATGTTTTACCAAATCTCAACAAATATTATAAAGAGCTCTGGCCAGTGATGTATTGTAAGATTAAGATAGATCCCTATAAATCTTCCTTAGTATAGTGTTCCCTTATGTGGACTACCATCCTAAAAATGCCTCTGATACACTGCTCATTTAAACAGACTACTTTACTATTCACTGCTCTGTTAACAGGCATCCCACTAATGTAAAATGTAGGGAAGAGATTGAAAACATTGGAGAGAGCTATGTCAAGCAAACTGCTCCCGTATCTGATGCTGTTAGGTGAGCTCAACAATAGTATCACTTAGAACAAAAGATGTTCTTTTGCACATTGTTTAATACAATAAATTAAAACAAAAAATATAGGGAAAAATAAAATAATTTTTATCAAACAGCTGTTGCTGCATTTCTAACAATTTTGATAGCAGAGTTCCGTAAAGGAAACAGTCCAAAAATTTATGAATAGACTTTTCAATATCCAATGTTTAAGATTTTATACAGTGTTTAAGATTTATTTTAATGGTATTTAGTTGTTTATATATTATTGTTTTACGAATTCACAATACTTGAGGATTTATCGTATTACTTATTTTTAAATTAAAAAGCATAATATTTTAATAATATATGAAACTATTAATTATGAAATTAAACATAATTATTCAAACAGAATTTTATATGACTTTTTAATTATTTTTCATTACAAAAGAATGAAAATTTATTTTTAAGAATAAATCTCTTGTGATGTTACATAATTATATAAATAGAAACTTCTATCTAAAATTTTAAATTTACCTGAATTAATAATGAATTGTAAACGGGCATAAAACTTTGTTTTGATTGCAGAAATTGCATTTCCAAAGTAGAAATACATTTTATCACTGTTAATGGTAGACTGATAAGCTGTTCCTTGAAAGACAACAAAATGTGCAATGCACATTCTATTTCCACTTTATTTTCATCAACTGTTAAAATACAAAGGATAAAATTCAATTATTAAATTATTTTATTATATATTTTATTAAATTGTATGCAAGATTCTTCAAGAAGCACATTCCATATTTATTTGCTACAACTTTTAAGTTATAAAATGCAGACATAAAAAAACAAGCTCAGCCCAATCCAATCTACATAAAAAGAAAATAAAAACTAGATTTCTTTGTAAGTTTTATTGATTAATTAGGAATTAATAAACATTATTTATGCTAAATGCTTATCAATCAACTTTGTTACATTAAACTATTTTGTTTTACTTTTCTTATTTTTCTACTAATGCCAAATCAATTATAAATAATAAAGCAAATAAAACAGATAATAGAATAAATTTGTTTTGTTGTATTTCTATTTCTTTGGTTTCCTTCAAAGTGCTGTAAATTTTAATCTCTGAAGAACAAAAGGAATTAAAATGAAATCAGTCTTAATTTAGAATCAGAATCAAAATATNCCTAACATTTCATTAAAAAACTGATGAACATGGGATTATCTAAGTTATATTTTGTCTTTCTAATTTTAAACAAATAATAAATTACTAGGGTGTAAATGACAGATGGAACCATCAGAAAAATAAAAAATTTTCAGAAGATCCTTTATATTAATAGGTGCCAGCAGAAGTCCATATATTTCCTGCACACTATTTGAACAATTCATGGGTATAAAAATCTATTTTATTTAAAAATAAAAAACAAAAAAATTTTTTGTACTAATTTACAATAGAACTATATTATTTATATGATAATAATTGCAAAATTAATCTTAAACAGATCAATTATTTTCCAAATTTTTCCATCCTCAGGTTTCCAAGAAAATATTTATTTTTATAAGTTTCCTGTATGCAAAAAAAAAAAAAAAAAAAAATTATTTACATCATTTATCAACTCGTAAATTAAAAACGAAAACAGCTTTTATTGTTTTCAATTATCATTGGTAAAGAAGAAATTAAAGTACTGAAATGGAAAAAAATGCAAGTTCACACTATTAATTAATAGTATAATTTTATTTAATCATACAGTAATTAAGTTTATATTCAATAATAAGATTAGAAAAAGCAAAATATTAATTAAAAAAATGAATACTTGAAAATTGAATAAAACAAAATTTATAATACAATTTTAAAACACAAAACCCTAATCATCTTTAGATACTACTTACTATTTGTTTTACTTCTGTTTTTATTTTCTATGTTGGACTTTTTTTACTGAAAGACTTTGAACCTGTTTCTTCTATATAATTTTTGCAAATTTTTGCTTATGTTGTGTAGAACCTTTATTGTAATGAAATATTATTATGGTTCATTTACTTTGTGTCTGATTTCTTTTTCTATTATATTATTTTTGTCTACATTTTTTGTAATTTGAAACTTTCTATTTCTTTTTATTTACCATTTTGTCACTTAAATTTCTATTTTCAATTCCTTACAAGTTTTTCTAATTCAATTACTATAATAAAATTATCATAGTAAATGTGAGGTCCCGGACAGGTCCGAACCGTCACAAAATATGCAAAAAAATTTAGTTGATTTAGAGAAAAATTTATTTTAGAAAGGTTAGAAAAAATGTTTGTAGTCAGACACCTTTTTGTTTATACTAAATTGTGATGCAGAGTTGTAAATTTTAGAAGGAATGAAGTCCCCAAATCGACTATCTTCAATTGGGAGATTGAAGTCAACTTTGAGTTGACCTATCCTGTGATCAGGGTTGGGGTCCCATTACACTGAGTAATGAAAGACCAGCCACTTGGAAAGCCTGGATGAGGGAGATCAACCAATTGGAATGGCCAATCGAAAGATCGATATAGATATAATCCTCGATCTTCAAGGACAAAATCATTTTCCATACTGTTCACCTGCACATGGTTAGTCAATGGACTGTCAACGTGTTCAGAGAGGCAGTCTCTCCCCTTTTGGATAATTCTTGCGATTGTGTGCCTTCATCAAAACTATCCCACCTTCCTCGCCTCGTGTTGTCTTTGGTACCGAGACCTGTGCTGAATGCTGCATCTTCTTCTCCTACCTGCAAACGCTACCAATTCAGCAACTCTCTTCCATCTGCCCTAGGGTTGCGACCAGTCAAGAAAACTACAGGAAGGTCAGACTTGCATAGCTCCTATGCACCAGGAAGACATCTTACATTATAGACTGTAGTGCATCAGTGGAACATGTAAGAACAAATTCTGTAAATAATAAATGGTTTCTACCATGTGAAGACACATGTCATCTCTGTCTCTATCACACCATCCACATAAGCAGTCGCCCTTAGCCATTCCTGATGCGTATTAAAGTTATCCCCTCCTTTCGTCAAGCTTACATAAATATATATTTTCCATGGTCCATTTTTTTTTAAAATCAAAAGTACTAAAATTAAATACTGAGTAATCCAGAAGTTCTTCAACATAGCAGCATAGCAGCTTATTTTTACAAATAAACACATATTAATAACAAATACATGCATACATAAGTAAAAGCAAAAAAATCCCATATTAAATTAAACCAAGAAACTCAGTTCACCAATGCATAAAAATTAAAGAAAATTTTACATTCTTAGCATTGTAGAAGGATGCTATGTCAAAAGACTTCTGGATCACCCAGTATAAATGTTTATAGAAAACTAATAAAATTACGTTTTTCATGTTAATCTAAGGAAGATGTTATCCATAAGATTTCTTCAAACATTAATTTTAAAAAATTTAAAATTTATGAAATAAAAATACAAAATTTGATTAAAGAATATGACTAGATTAAAAAAATAACATTAAATTATAATTACAGCAAAAAACTAGTGATTAATAGTAGAAATAAAATTATAAGAAAAAAAATATATATGAGTAATTAAGAGAAAAAATGAAGCAACTGCATGAATGACATGCAGAGTATTTTATTTAAAAATATAAACAGAAAGCATTAAAGATAATATAAATATTGCCACTAAATTTAAACATTGTTTTTAATTGTATCAAATACTAACAAAAATATACAATGCATTTAGGAAATGTATAGTTCATAAATAAAAATTCATGATAAGGCAACTAAAGCTAAAAAAGTATAATGTGAATCTCACAAGTGAGATTTAAGGAGCATATGCAATATATAGACATTAGCATAATACATGAAGAAATAATATTATTTTTACATTATTTGATGATCAAAAACTAACATATAAAAGAAAAAAAATGTTAGTAAACAAGAACAGTCCAAGAATTATCCCAAAAGTTGATAATTTTTCAATAATTCTACCTTCTCCAAATATTGACTTTCAAAAGAATCATTTGGAAACCAATTTGATTTTATTATATGTTATGTATCATATTGATTTTAGTTCTTTACAGTAAATAAGAGCTAAGCAATTGACTCTCCAAGTAGCTCTCAAAGTAGCATCCAATGACATTGGATGCTACTTTGAGCGACTTGGATACTACTTTGATAAGAGCTAAGCAATTGACTCTCCAAGTAGCTCTCAAAGTAGCATCCAATGACATTGGATGCTACCGACATTAAAATTTTTTATATTTAATTTTTTTTAATGTTATTTTAGCATTTACAATTATTATTATATATTTTACTAGAGGACTTTGCCCCCCACTCACTTAGCCCATTTGTTTAAATTTTTGTGACAATTCATTGATTCCCAGTGCTGTCATTTCTATTTTTTCCTAGGCCACCAATCTCCCTATACCAATCTAGTTGAAGTAATCTTGCAACATTTAGTTTTTCCAACTTTTTATCATCACTTAAAATACTTTTAAACTTTATATTACAAACTCTTTAATGGTAATCATTATTTTGTGGAATTAGACTTCAAGTTCCAATTAGCTTAATCAAAAATATCTCCTGTCTCCATATTAATGGAACTTATTTAAAAACATTAGTGATAGCTGAATGACCAAGTGGTTAAGATTTCAGTATAAAGCCCAGGAATAAATCTGGTTGGGTCAAAAAACACCAGGAATTTTTTGGGGAGTATGTCTTATACTGTATATATTTGATTCCCTTACCACCCAACTGTCCCACTGTGGGCCTGACCAAACCCACAATGGGCTTGATAAAAAAAAAAAAAAAAAGCTATCTCAGTGCCCACAAGGCAGAAAAAGTCAAAAAAAAAATTAGCAGCGATCCTTTTTATTTGGGCAGTTATCTCTAGGGAAAACTCAAAAACTTGTTACATGAAAGTTACATAAATTTTAAATGTCTATGTAAAAGAAAACTTTGCCGTTTTAAAACATTGTTGTATTTTTCTGTACTTTACAAATGTTATTGTTGTTGTTTTTGTTTGGGTTGGTTCTTTCTTACCATAATTCAAATTACCATAAATTCTGTAATAAATAATTATTTCTTACAAAATTTTAGATAAATTTAAAGCGTACATCAGTAAATTTTCAACAAGTATTTTGGAAGTAGGTGTACAGTGGTGTTGGTTAGGTCAATACTGCCATGGATTATTCACATAAAATTATGATATATTTTCATATTTTGATTATTGTTATTAAAGTAAAATGTTTTTTTTTCCAATAACTACATAAAAAATGTTTCCAAAATTGTAAAAATCATTTAAACTACATTTCATAAGGCTACTAAATATTGTTCCATTTATAGCCCCTAAATTTTTAAATTTACCATTATATAAATCACTATATCTTATGAAATATATAAAATTTGAAGAACATCTAAGCAATGTAAAATGTAATCAAAATTAAAAGTATTTTCTAATTACAAAAATATATTAATAACTACCTTTTTACAATTGGATAAAATAGTTCAATTAATCCCTGATACCACCAAGGACGCTAAAAATAATAAATAATTACATTATTTAAAATATAAATTATGTTAGTGTAATTAAAACTACAGAAAAGACCTGATAATTTGGTGAAGAAATAGTTGATTTATCAAATTCTTTCCATCCATTTGATCTAATTAAGATAAAAGTTCATAATGTTAAATTTCAAGAAATAGTAAGCTTAATTTAGAAAACAAAATTTAATAAACTGAATACTTTTGTCTACTATCATCAGAAATTTCAATATAAATAACAAAATTAAGTAACATTATGTAAAAGACTAATCAGTTCTACAAACTATCTAAAAATGCTAATTTTATAATGTTAAATCAATGTTGTTCTTCATTTTGGAAACTGATAAATACTATTACTCAAATTATTAAACTTTATTTTTTTATTTGAGGTTATTATTTCATCAAATTTAAGCAAAACTATAGAATATATTATTAAGAATTATAAAATATGATGTTAAATGTATAATATAAATAGCAATCAAACACAATTCTAATTAAATAACAATTGCCCCAGTGCAAATTATTTATAGAGCCCCACAAAGTTATATACAGTACAAAGCTATATATATATTAATAAGCTTCTTAAACTGGAGTAAATTATAAATCTGAAGAATTCAGTGTGTTCTAGCAGCAGTTTTTATTCACAATCTATGTGAGTAGCCATCTTTGGGGTTGAACATTCATGTAATAAAATTCTTTTAAATTTAAATTTAAAAGAATTCTATTACATGAATGTTTGATTCTGAGGATGACTATTTAAAAGACTGAAAACATTTGATAAATAAAAAATTGTTGCTGGAACAGGTTAGAATATTTTAGATTTATAACATATGTATTTAAATATTTCCATAGTTTTGTATAAAATATTTGAAAATTATTATTTTTGCTTGTTAAGACTTCATTACTAAAAGAAATAATATAATCAAAATCTTTCATATACCAACATAATTAGTTTTATAGTGGATCTAGCTAAGTACACACAGTGTAGTGTACAAAGTCCAGATCTAGAGCAGTGCACTGGGCTTTAATTCTACACAGCAGAGGAGAAAAATAGATAGCTTTTCTTAATGTTTTGTTAGTATAATATTTTCTTTCATTTGAAAATCTATTTAAAATAACTGATATTTACATTTTCTTGTTTAATATGTAAGCATGTTAATAGTTGTATCATCTGGTCTCTAAATTCTGAGAATTTGGAATTTGAATATAAATTAAATGATTGTTTCAGATTTATAAATCGATGATTTAATTAAATTATCCAATTTTTAAAATTATCAGGAAATGACAACATGTACTTTTAAGTTAATAGCAAGTTTCCTAAATTTTAATGAATTTATCAGTTCAATTATGTTATATTTAAATTCCATTCAGAAAAAATTTGTTCTCTTGTGGCAAAAACGTTACTTTATTAAAGACTGAAATAATGTGAAGAAAAAAAAAAATAGTTAAACGAGATAATTTGTTGAAATATTGTTAAAATGTATAATTTTAATTGTAATTATTGTTTTAATTTATGAAAAGCAACTATTTTTTTAATTTAAGTTACAAATATCTTCATAACATTCCATATTATTCCATATTCTAAAGCTAATCTATGAACAAACTTACAGAAAAATTATATTTTCATAAGCTTTAAAAGTATATTACAATCAGATATATGGAGAAACAAAATTTTTAAACAAATAAGAATTCAAAAACCACAAAAACTGAATAAAATACTTCTCAAAGAAAGTTTACACCTGAGAGTCTCATTTTGTCATAATTGACAATTTTTGTAAAAATCTTTCATTATTATATTAACATAATACAGAAATAATATTTTTATCAAACCTCTCAATTACCTTTGAATTACAGGTAGAAGAACATTTGCCAAACTATCAGGCTGATGATAACAAAACTGTAATATTGAAAAAAGAGCTCTTGAAAGTCTAAGCTTTGAATCACTGCTATTTTTCAATGGTGATGATAAACCATCTCCTTCATAACTGACAGTTTCTTCATTAGCTTGAGTCATAAATAATATTGCAAGTGTACATTCATGATTCAGGAAAGCCTATTTATAAATGTTAAAATTTTCTTAAATATAACCATTGTAATAATTAATTAATCTTATATCTTTACAAAAAAATCATGGTAAAATTTTGATATAATTTAACATAAAAAAAAAAATAAAGATCTTAATTTAAAATAATTTACAATATTTTTTAAAATTTCAAAATTATTATATACAATATAGTACTTTAGTGTACAGGTATCATTCATACATCACAGCACTTCTACAACATGGTTTCACTCTAACACAATTCAACAATTGAGAATATCCCCCTACAACACTGTTTCCATCCAGTTTTACTGTAATGCGATTTGGGAAATCCTTTGTACAAAATTTCCCAATTTTTAATTGCAAATTCCATTATTCGATATTTTTTTATTCAAGAAAGCAATGAGTGTCATCTCAAATTTGCCCATGGATTTTAGAATATTGATGAAAGGCTCAGGTTTCATCAGGTTTCTTTTTAATGAAAACTGATAGAAAAGCAAGGACAAGAAAGAAGAAAATTCTATCAACCAGGTGTCATTGTTGTTTTCAGATTTTAGTNCTCAAATTTGCCCATGGATTTTAGAATATTGATGAAAGGCTCAGGTTTCATCAGGTTTCTTTTTAATGAAAACTGATAGAAAAGCAAGGACAAGAAAGAAGAAAATTCTATCAACCAGGTGTCATTGTTGTTTTCAGATTTTAGTTCTTAAAGACTATCGTGTGTTTTATTTTATAGATTAATCTTCATATATAGTAAAATTTATTTAAACATTTTTTTAACCATAGGTAAGTAATCATTTATAAAAATGACAAATGAAATATAACCATATCTCAGTAAGTGAACTGTTCCCAACTCAAACAATTCGGTATTCAAGCACAAATTCTGGAAAAAGAAACTGTTCAGTACTAAGCTAAACAAACATGACCCATTAGAACAAATTATCAATTAATAACATATTTTTATTTTTATTTTGTAATCCATAAAAAATTACAATTAAAAAAAATGCAGACATTACTGATATTTCTGATCAAGATCAACAAAAAAGCTCAGGAAATGACAATACTTTGTAAACAGAAAATGCCCTCATTTAATAAATACTATTTAACATAAATTAATTTTTATAATGAAAAATATTTTATAATTTATTCAATAATTTAAAAATGTGTTTTTTATTATATATAATAAATATAATTAGTCTCTGACTTACACCGTTTTGGACTTGCATAAAGTTTTTGGTATAATTGAAAGATATCTCCAAAATAATTTTATGATAATGCCATTGATTTGAATCAGAAAATAAAAATAATACAAACTCATTATCAACGAAGTTTATTCAGTTACAAAAACACCTCAAAAAATTTTAAATAAAGTAAAAAATATCAACAAAATTAATATTAACATGTAATATAGTACTTTTAATTGTGATTGTTAGTTAATTATTGATCGGCAATAAAGTATTGACTGCTTTAATAGACATATTTCTCTTAGTGATGAAAAAGAAAAGTATACTTTTATTAACTTCTGGAATGTAATCCCATGTTTTGCATTAGTCCTTTGTTTCATATATTTGGGTTGATGCAAAAGTTCGTCCCGTTTTTTTTAAAAAGAATCAAAGAAAAATTTAATTTACTAAAACTTACATTTAATCAATATAGTATGTGCCATTCTGTTCAATGACCTTTCTCCATCTCTCTAGTAGCTGCATAATCCCATGCTCATAGAATTTCTGAAATTTCTGGCTGAAAAACTGATCCAGGTGATTTTTCAAGTCTTCCAAGGAAGTAAAGTTTTTACCATCTAAGCTGTTTTGAAGTGATCTAAATAAATGGTAGTCAGAGGGTGCAAGGTCAGGAGAGTATGGTGGATGGACCAAAACATCCCAATCAAGTTGTAAAAGTTTTTGTTGGGTGGCCAAAGACACGTGTGGTCTAGCATTGTCTTGATGAAACACAATGCCCTTTCTGTTGGCTAATTCAGGTCGCTTCTGGTCAATTGCTCGCTTTAATTCACTTAGTTGTGAACAGTATTTCTCTAAATTAATGGTCTGATTTTCAGGTAACAGCTCATAATAAATGATTCCCCTCCAGTCCCACCAAATGCATAGCATAACCTTCTTTGGATGTAAACTGGCTTTTGCGCTGGTTGAAGGGGCATCTCCGTGCTTACACCATGATCTTTTACGCTTAACATTATTGTACACAATCCATTTTTCATCACCTGTAATGATTCGCTTTAAAAATGGGTCAATTTCATTGCGCTTCAATAGAGAATCGCAAGCAGAAATTCGGTCTATCAAATTTTTTTCTGTTAACTCGTGCGGCACCCATACATCGGCCTTGCTTACCATTCCAAGTTGATGTAATCGCCTTGACACTGTTGACTGATTGATTCCAAGAATTTCTCCAATCTCTCGAGTTGTTTTGTGTCGATCACTTTCAATTAGTGCCAATATTTTGTCGTCATCAGCCTCGGCTGGTCGTCCAGAACGTGGTGCATCGCTAAGGTTAAAATTGCTTTCACGAAACTTTCTAAACCACTTACGGCACGTGGAATCATCAATGGCTCCCTCACCATACACAGAACATATCTTTTTTTGTGTCTGCGAAGCATTCTTGCCTTTTCGGAAATAAAAAAGCATAATATGTCGAAAATGCTCCTTATTTTCTGCCATTTGTAATGCTTAACAAAATTTTAAAAACACAACTAAGTAAGACAACTTTATTCTCAAATACTAGCTGAGATCCCTTCTGTCAAACAACGTCGAAATTTTACACATGTGAAAGAAATAACACTTCAGTGTTGCGCTTTTAGCCAG